GAAGTTTGGAAAAATGAACTTCTCTTCCTTCCCCAATCTTGTTCGCCTTAATCTTAGCCATCAAGGACTCTATGGGAGCATCCCACCTCAAATTGGTGATCTTACAAGACTCGAGCACCTTAATCTGTCCAACAACGATCTAACAGGTACATTGCCTTCTTCACTTGGAAATCTCACTCAATTATGGATGCTTGACGTATCTTTCAATTACATAAATTCCATCTCCCTAAAATTCAGGAGTTTGAAGAATCTTGTTTCTTTGAACTTGACTTGGAACTACCTCACTGCATCCAGTGCTCCAATTATAGGCCTTCCCCCCAATCTTTCCCACTTGGAGTTGGCCTGAAATCCTTTTGATTGTAGTATCCCTCTAGAAATATGGAACTTGAAGAGTCTTGTAGCCTTAGACATGAGCGATTGCTCCCTCAATGGTCCAATCTCTTCCAACATCAGTCATTTAACCAATCTGGTTTCTTTGTCTCTTGCAAACAATCAAATCAATGGATCCATACCTTCAGAAATGGGAAATTTAAAGAACTTGGTTTCTCTGGATCTATCTGGAAACTTGTTTGTGGGTCTAATACCACCCCGTCTTGGACAATTAACCAGTTTGACATTTCTAGATCTCAGTTTCAATTCATTTAGTGGCTCCATCCCTAGAGAATTTGGGGAATTGACGAATCTCACTGATCTCCGCATGAATCTTTGCGAACTCGTTGGTCCGCTCCCTCCAACTTTGGGTCAATTGACAAATTTGAGATACTTGTTTCTTTATGGGAATCAAATCAATGGCTCCATCCCTTCGGAATTGACAAACCTTAAGAACTTGATTGGTTTGTATCTTTTGCAAAACAGTTTAGGGGGCACAATCCCACCATCTTTGAGTCTCTTGTCCAATTTGAGGATCCTGTACCTTAGAACAAATTCTTTTGAGGGCTCCATCCCGCCAAACATAGGAAATCTAAGTAATTTGGAACTTCTGAATCTTGGTGAAAATAAATTAACAGGTCAAATCCCTTCCTCTTTGTCTTGTTTGTCCAATTTAAAGTATTTGAATCTTTTTGAAAACAATTTAATAGGTCAAATCCCTCTATCTCTGGGTCTCTTGTCCAATTTGTCAACTTTGGATCTCGATTCAAATAACTTGAATGGTTCTATCCCTCAAAATTTAGGATGTCTATATAATTTGCAGGAATTGGATCTTAGTAATAACAAAATAACCGGTCATATCCCTTCATCTCTGTCTCATTTGTCCAATTTGCGGCGTTTGTATCTTTATGAAAACAGTTTAATAGGTCAAATCCCTCCATCTCTGGGTCTCTTGTCCAATTTGTCAAATTTGGATCTTGATTCAAATAACTTGGATGGTTCTATCCCTCAAAATTTAAAGTCTATATAATTTGTGGGATTTGGATCTTAGTAAAAATAAAATAACTGGTCATGTCCCTTCATTTCTATCTCATTTGTCTAATTTGTACTATTTGAATCTTGGTTCAAATAATTTACAAGGTTTCATTCCTTTTGAAATAGGAATTATGACTAATCTATCTTTTTTGAATCTTGGTACTAACAATTTCACTGGTTCAATTCCTTTCACCATACTTCATTTACCCAATCTGCAAACATTGTGTCTTGATTCAAATCTTTTAGAAGGTTCAATACCCAAAGAGATTG